GCTAGGCGTGGTGGCGGGTGCCTGTAATTCCAGCTACTTGGGAGACTGAGGCAGGAGAATAGGTTAACCCGGGGAGGCAGAGGTTGCAGTGAGCCAAGATTGCGCCACTGCACTCCAGCCTGGGCGACAGAGTGAGACTCCATCTCAAAAAAAGAAAAAAAGGAAAGAAAGAAAAGGTCAGGGGCACAACAGTTTGCTCCATGAACTCTCAGACCAGCAGCTCCTACTTCACCAGGAAGTTTGACAATTTGATCAGCGTGATACGTTCAAAGTCTGAACATAGCCAAGCGACACTAACTCTCTCCTCCCTTCCAGGGAGGTGTGCTCTTTTTCTGGGAGCACGTGGCGGAACCACAAGGAAGCTGGGCCCTCATGTGGCAGCAAGTTGTGGAGCCCACGTGGAAACACATTGGGGATGGCTGCTGCCTCACCAGAGAGACCTGGAAGGATCTTGAAAAGGCTGGGTTCTCCGAAGTCCAAATGGAACGACAGCCCCCTCTCTTCAAGTGGCTACCTGTTGGGCCCCACATCATGGGAAAGGCTGTAAAATAACCATTCCCAAGCCCCAAGGCACTCATTTGCTTCCTCCCCAGCCTCCAGTTAGAACAAGCCACCCACCAACCTATCTTCCACTGAGAGGGACCTAGGAGAGTGAGAGAAGCCATTCCCGTATCACCTCCTAGTCCCTCTCTCCCCAGCCTCTGCCAGGGCAATCTCTAGCTTCAATGCCTCCTTCGACAGTGAAAAAGCTGTACTTCTACCCTGACTACAGGGAGGAAACGCTTGGATCCTTAACTGCAAGTTTCTGGACTGGTCTCCCGACGTTTGCCTACCTGTCCTCTAGGACAGCTCCCTGTCCCTTTCCTTTGTTCCCGTGGTAACGCTCCCCTTGCTTTCCTCCTGAGGCTACAGGAACTGGTCACAAAAGTCATGGTGCACACATCCCTGCCAAGCCCCCCGACCCTCTCTCCCCACCACCAACTTCATCCCGAGCTGAGGGCACCAAGGAGAATCAGAGACGCTGAGGCTGAGGGAGAAAGAGTCTAAGGAGGCAGAGGTTTTGTTCTCAAATATTTTTTAATAAATAGATGAAACCACTAGACTGATGTAGCAAACTCAGGTCAGAGGAGAGGAGAAACTAGAAAAGGAGGAGCCCCTGAGTCAGTGACACAGCCTTCTCCCTGACCCTCTAGGCTAAGGCACTTCTTAGGGAGCCAGGCCCTTGGGGTCCTGTTCTACAGGGTGAATGGGGGAGGGAGGGATTAGGATCCCTTCTCCCAACCTTTGCATCAGGACACCCCTGCCCTTCTCACCTCACCCCGTGACCCTATCCCTGATTTACCTGCCCTCATCTCACAGCACTCTAAGGGGAAGCTGGGTGGAGGAGTTCTTGTGGGTGGGAGTGGTCTGTGCCCCTGAGGAAGCGGATCCTGCCAAATCTTGCTGCGACACCAGCAGCCCACTCTACCCTCTTCATTCCAAAGAGCCATCTCTGGGGAAGGGGCGGAGGGGAGCCACAAGCCAGGCTGGACACAGGAACCTAGGCGGTGCCTGGCCCTGGATGCCCATCAGGGCCCAGCTCGGGGTGCCCGTCAGCGGCCAGGATGGGGTGTGCATCCGGGGCCTCCCGCCGGGGGCTGCCCCAGTTGTTCCTAAGGATAGTGCCCGTCTTCTCCTCCTTGAACTGCTGTCGGTCTTCCCGAGGAATCTTCACTGCATGGTACTGGGGCACGGTGGCCTCGGGGTGCTTCGCCCGTTTGAAGAATCCCATCTATAAAGACATCAAGCCTGACCATGAGGAGCCCGAAGAGCTGCGGTCCCTGGAGCAGACACCTAGCGCAGCGCAGCTCCTCGCCCTCACCATCCCCACTGTGGCAGAGAGGAGACAGACTGAACAGCATCAAATGCAGTGGGCAGCGCCCACAGTGATCCCATCAGTGCTGGGTCCCTGGGTTCTCATTCACAGCAAGACAGAGACCAGGAGGGGGTCCAAGAGACAGGACCAAGGGCCTCTCCCTTGGCCCCTGAAAGAGAGGCTTGAGAGTGGAGCATTAGGACCTGACTCAAGATTTCCTCCCACTCTAGCTTCTTAAGAGACCCAATAGTGTCCCCCAAAACACAAACAAGATCTGAGGAAGAAAGTGGCTTCCTAGACCCCTGCGCCTCTGGAATGATGCCTCTCAAGCCTCATACACATGCACCCTGTGTACTTATACCTTGGGCAGCATGCCCCTTACAGCACCCCTCCCATCAATACAGTAGTCTAGCCTCACCCTAAATCAGGACTATGCTGGCCTCTACACACCAGGCTGGGATTGTGCCCCTTGCACACTCACACTCAGAGGCCCAGGACTCCTACATGCTCAGACTGCATAGCAGTTCCTTACACATTCATCTCCTCGCACACATGCCCATAGAAAAAGCATGCATGGGACCTCCCCACACTCCCACATGCTCACACTCTGTGAGCCCACCAACCCTCTGTGCATGCCTCAGGCTGTGTAGACTTACCCTTATCTCCACACCCTTCTAGTAACCTCTCACCTCACGTCACTCTCATGCAATCTCATCTTTCACCCTCAACATTCCTGGTCCCCTGAATGCTGGGAATTCTCCTTTTAGTCACACACATACATATCCACACACACATATACACATGCACACACACAACAGTTACCCCACAGTCCCTGGACCCCCAACTTCCACAGCCGAAGGCTGCACAGCCAGACAGGCCCGGTGATAGTTGGTGGGAAAAGGTGAACGCTGGCTGCTCCGATGGAAGAAGCCACACTGGGATGTCGAGGGAGAAGCAGGGCAGAGGAGGCAGAGGATGGGAAGATTGAGGAAGGATGGGAGTCCCCATCTCTGTTCTGTCTCCCTTCCATAGGAGCAGGGAGCAAGCATTCTGGGACCAGTTTTACAGAGGCATCAATCTCCCCTAAGACTGGGCAGGTTCCCAACAGCTTAGATGCCACTCCAGACCCTGGTCTACTGATGACTCACACTTGCCAAAGGGTATGCTCAGTCTGTAATTCATCCCAAGGAGCAGGTACAGGCAGGGGCAGTTCTTCAGAGCCCCAAGGACATGCATGGCTCTGAACACAGCCCCAGATGTGGCAGATGGCTCAGCATATGACCCCTGGTGATATTCGTGATGTCCTGTACTGATGTGTGCATGTGTGTATTTTTACATTGAGCCCTGGATGCCAATGTGATTCTGTATACAGCTCTGTGCATACAAGAATGCTTCCATGCAGAGCCTGGTATGTGGAAGCTCCGAGTTCCACCCTAAGGGCGGTTCCCTGGAGGCCGTTCTCCATGCTTGTCGGCCTTCTTAGCCACTGTTACCTTTCCGGTGCTCACTGCCACGTTCTAGTTAAGGCAGACCACACTTCTCTGCCTCTGTGACTTTGCCTACCATGGTCTGGCTGGACCCCACCCACCTCATCTCCTTACGCCCTAACCCTACTACCCCACCCCCTCTAAGGACTGCTTCTAGTGCCCCTCCTCAAGCCTTTTTCCCGCTAAACTCCCACTGCATTTTCTCAACTCAACGCTTTCTGCCTTCTCCTTGCCTACAGGCTCACCACTCCCACCCCACCAGACTACAGAACCCCTGAGAACGAGATCGGCATCTGATTTCTTCTTTTTTTGCTGTTTTTGGGTTTTTTTTTGGGGGGGGTTGTTTGTTTTTGGAGTTTTTTGTTTGTTTGTTTTCAGACGGAGTCTCTGTCTGTCACCCAAGCTGAAGTGCAACGGCGCCATCTCAACTTACTGCAACTCCCGCTTTCTGGTTCAATCGGTTCTCCTGCCTCAGCCTCCCCAGCAGCTGGTCTACAGGTGCATGCCACCATGCCCGGCTAATTTTGTATTTTTAGTAGAGATGAGTTTTTACCATGTTGGCCAGGCTGGTCTCAAACTCCTGATCTCAAGTGATCCACACGCCTTGGCCTCCGAAAGTGCTAGCATTACAGGCATGACTCACCACAGCCAAGCCTGCATCTGATTTATCTTTGAAACATCCAGGGGCTAATAGAGTTCCTGAGACATGCAGGGTAAGTATTCAGTGCAGATTTGCTGAAGACATGAGTGGGTAGGTGAGAGAACCACAGTACAAAAGGCTGCCCACCCGACCAGGAAGTCCGCCCCCATCAGCCCCACCATCCCCCAAGTCTCACCTTCCACAGGAGCAGCACCAGCAGTGCCAGCACCAGCAGCCCGGCAAGTACAGCCAGGAGGATAACCCACCAGGGCACTCCTTCTGCCACCACAGCCACGGGGTCCAAGTATACCATCACCGGGATCTGGGGAGCAAGGGGCCAATGGAGCAAGAGCTGGAGGGAGCAGGAAAGAAGAGAGTGCTCCCCACCCATCCCCCAGCCCTGCAGCTCACCACTGTGGAGGCATCTCGGAGCAGCAGGTTCTTTATAGAGGACTTCACTGTGATGTTGGCTCGGACAATCAGTTCCAGGGACTTCACAGCTGAGTACTCCTAAAGGAACAGGGAAGGAGACCCTTCTCCTAAATGTCCCATGACTCCCTTCCTTCCTGTTACCTCCTGAAATTATAAATGGAATGGTGCCCAATACAGAGGATGTTTCTGCCTGGTTTCAGTTAAGAGTATGCTGCATTTGGGCTGGACACAGTGGCTCACACCTGTAATCCCAGCACTTTGGGAGGTCAAGGGAGGTGGATCACTTGAGGTCAGGAGTTTGAGACCAGCCTGGCCAACATGGCAAAACCCCATTTCTATGAAAAATATAAAAATTAGCTGGGTGTAGTGGCAAATGCCTGTAATCCCAGCTACTTGGGAGGCTGAGGCAGAAGAATCTCTTGAACTCGGGAGGCAGATACTCCAGTGAGCTGAGATCGTGCCACTATTCTCCAGCCTGGGGGACAGAGCAAGACTGCCTCAAAAAAAAAAAAAAAAGATAAAAAGGATGCTGCATTTGGACAGTGAGGAGGGAGGAGGAGAAGTGAGTCCTGGAGGGGCTTTGGGGGAAGAAGAAACACAGACTGGAGCCCCAGTGGTATCCTCACCTCCAGAAAGGTGCTGTTCCAGAGACGGCCCCAGACACGCAGCACAGCCGCTCGGTCGAAGCTGTAGAGTGGGCAGCTGAACACCACACAGTTGGCCGTGCCCCGGGCGCAGTCCTGGAAATAAGGACGGACGGGGTCTAAGCCACTCAGCTCCACCCTGCTGAGCCTGCCATCTCTCCCATTTTCCTTACTTGACCTTGAACTCCCCTCCTCCAGGAGGTCTTCTCAGACTAATCTTATGGTCTGAAATAGCTGCCCACCCCAAAGCTGAGCTATTTGGCTTTGAAATGCATGGGGTGGGGGCAGCATGAAGGGGAATCTGTTGACAACACAGGCAGAGTAGCTTCCCAACTGATGCTTATGTTACCTAATGACAGTCCCATTTATTGAGCACCTACTATTGTCGGGCACTTCTCTCATTTAAGCTTCTCAACAGTCCTGCAAGGTACACGTGATTATCATCTCATTTTTCAAAGGAAGGAACTGAGGAGGCCCAAGGAAGCGAAGTGACCTGCCTCAGGTCACGCGCTAGCAAAGCTAGTGAGCAGTGGAGCAAATATTTGAACTCAGGTCCATATTCGGCAAAGCCACACCCCGGCCCTAAACCCAAACTCCTTGAAGGAGGAGGAGGCTGCCTCAGAAGCTCCTGGAGGGACAGGGGACTCAGGATCCGTTCTGTCCAGGACTGAACTAAATCCATTTGGCCCAATCACCACCTCATGACCTGTTGGCCTGAAAGTTATGTTATATTCATCGCGCCGCAATCCAGACTCAGAAGAATGGCTTTGACGGTGTCTGAATTCTTTGAGTTACCTTTCATTTTGCCACTTTTGAGCCATTCAAGAATCCTTAGCCATACTGTCTAAAAGCAAGACCTTCTGCCTCTTTTGTAAAACAATCTACTTTAGACATTATGTTAAGCAAACTAAGCCAGACTCAGAAAGACAAATACTGCATTATCTCACTTATATGTGGCATCTGAAAGTTGAACTCATAGAAGCAGAGAGTAGAATGGTTGTTACCCAGAGCCAGGGTCGGGGTGGGGACGGTTGGGGAGATGGAGGAGATGGTGGTCAAAAGGTACAAAGTTTCAGCTAGAAGGAAGAGAGATCTATTCAGGAGATCTATTGCCCAGCATGGGGACTCTAGTTAATAACAACATATTGTATTCTTGAAAATCACTAAAAGAATAGATTTTAAATGTTCTTACCGCAAAAATAAATATTCGAGGTGATGCATATGTTAATTAGCTCAATACAGCCATTCCACAGTATATACATAGTTCAAAATATCATGTTATACATGATAAATATAATTTTTGTCATTTAAATAAATAAATAAATTTTAACATTAAAACAAGACTCTATTTCAAAGTTCCCATTTAAAAAGGAGGCCTCTCAGAGGAAATCGGTCACATGGAGAAGGGAGGACTATCCATGTAACAGAACAACAGCCATGACACAGGGTCCTACCGCCCCTGGCGTTCTTTGCTTCACCTCAGGTCATGTTCCCAGGGAAGCCTCATGTCATATTCCCAGGGGAGCTGAGGGCCCAGGGTGGGGACTGCTGTAGCTGCTGACATTCCCCTGCAAAGGGTCTCCTTGGCTCTACCTGGGGTTTACCTCCACCTCCTTACAATCAGACGAAAAACCCTCCTAATCTACGTCCCCACCATGTTCTCACTGCCAGTGCCATCCTAGCAGGGAGGGGCACAGAGCAGGTGTGGATCTGCTCAGTACCTTCACCTAAACAACACTACTCTGCGAAACAAGCAGAAAAAGGGAAAGCAAAGCTGCTCAAAAGGAATAGGCTTAATGAATCATATACAATTTACTGTCGTCTTAATTATTAGAACTTTTAGAATTTATCGTTTTTGCTGAGCACATGGCTCACACCTGTAATCCGAGCATTTTGGGAGGTGGAGGGAGGAAGATCACTTAAGGTCAGGAGTTCGAGACCAGCTAGCCTGGCCAACACGGTGAAACCCCGTCTCTACTAAAAATACAAAAATTAACCGGGCATGGTGGTGCACGCCTATAGTCCCTCGGGAGTCCGGGGAAGGAGAATCACTTGAACCCGGGAGGCAGAGGTTGCAGTGAGCTGAGATCATGCCACTGCACTCCAGCGTGGGTGACAGAGTGAGACTCCGTCTCAACAACAACAAAAAATAACTTAGCGTTTTTAATATTGGAAAAATTGAGCATGTGTCCTTATACAAATTGACTTTTTTATCTTATAAGAATTCAAAAGAGGCCGGGCGCGGTGGCTCAAGCCTGTAATCCCAGCACTGTGGGAGGCCGAGGCGGGTGGATCACGAGGTCAAGAGATCGAGACCATTCTGGTCAACATGGTGAAACCCCGTCTCTACTAAAAATACAAAAAATTAGCTGGGCATGGTGGCGCGTGCCTGTAATCCCAGCGACTCAGGAGGCTGGGGCAGGAGAATTGCCTGAACCCGGGAGGCGGAGGTTGCGGTGAGCCGAGATTGCGCCATTGCACTCCAGCCTGGGTAACAAGAGCGAAACTCTGTCTCAAAAAAAAAAAAAAGAACAACAAACAGGCCTCACAGTGTGAGGATGGACTAACCCCATCCCATCGCCTATACAATATAATGCTTTATATAAACATGAGGAGAATCGACTGCCTGGCTAACTGGCTTCAGGTGGAGTGACCTGCTCTGGAGCGAGCACTTGCAGGGGCTGGGCGGGAAGGGGCTCTGCAATGTCAGCAACTGCCTCCCAGGCGCCCCCTCCCATGAGTTGTGACGGGAACCATCTGATCAACTTGCCCTGGGTGTTTGATCATCACGTATCTCAACAGGCTACCCTCCCTGGACACATAGCACCCTGGAGCTCTGTGCCCCACACCGCACACCCCCATTCTGGCTGCACCGAGTCTGGCCCGCCCTCACCAGGGTGATGTTTTTCTTCTTCTCAGCAGAGGACACTGGCCACCAGGACATGCTGGGCTCCTGCTGCTCACCAGGCTCCTGCTGCTCAGGCGGCTCCAGCTCCCGCCGCCTCCTATCCCTACTGTCCACATCCTGGACGTGGAAAGGGGGGTCCCAGTGAGTGTCCCTCCAATCACAGCAGTCCTGAGATCGAATCTCCTCCCCACCACCTTCCTCCTGGCCCATCACCACACTCACTCCCCTGGCCCCCCCATGACATCCCTCCCAACATGTAACCCCACCCCCACCTAAGCCTCACCAGGTGGAGGATGTTGGGCCTAGGAGAGCAAAGCCCTTTCTGCCCAGGCCCCTGACCGCCCTCCAGCTCCACCCGCATCGGGTACAGCAGCCACTTCCCATTGGCAATCTCATGGGGCCACATGATGTTGAGGAAGGCAGAGCCCAGGGTTTTGAGTGACTGGCCTTGGTTGGAGACCTGCGGGAAAAGGAGAGTATGAGAGGAGGGACCTCAGTTGTTTTTTTTGTTTTGTTTTGTTTTTCAATTTTTGTAGAGACAGGATCTGACTGTGTTGCCCAGGCCAGTCTCTAACTTCTGGGCTCAAACAGTCCTGCCACCTTGGCCTCCTAGAGTGGTGTGATTACAGGCATGAGCCACTGTGCCCAGCCAAGAAACTCAGTTTTCAAGGGGATCTTAAATCCACAGAGATGGAAGGAGCAAGGACTGAAAAGAAGGCCCTCTGGAAACAATTTCAACAAAGACTTGGGATCCCAGACCCCACCAGGCACCATTCTCTCCGCCTACCAAATCCAGGAAAACCTGGAAGTGTCCCTGGAAGGTGTAAGGAGAAGCTCCAGCCAAGCAAAGGCAGAGTTCTAGGAAGAGACATTAACCCCAGCCCCATGTTCCCATCCCCCAGCTGAGGCTCACAGCAGAGACGCTTTCCTGGACTCTCATGGCCTACCAGACCAGCAGGTGAGACAGCCAGATAGAACAACAAGGAAATGGTCAAGTGAGGCCCCAGCAGAAACATCCACCCACAGCCAAGGTCCAGGTGCAGGGCAGAGGCCTCAAACTCGCTAGACCAGCATGGTAAAACAGCCCCAGCCCTGGGGACATGGCTCAGCGTCTCCACTGTGCCAAGGGGCCAAGGGCGACCGTGGAGGTGCCTCACCCCTGACACTTACCGTGACCTCATACTTGACCTTGCTGCCCACATCCCGCTCAGACTGCATGGCGCTCTCACCCCTCACCACGCCAGAGAAGAAGAGTTGCTGGGGAATGGCCATCCTGGCATGGAGAGGTCAGAAGAGGGGTGAGAAGGTCTGGGGCCTGGCTGAATAAAGGCAGGGCCCTGGCCAGGGTTTGGAAGTGGAAATGCCCCCTCCCTCCAATGGAGGTGCCCTCTTGGGCCAGGCTCACCCTGCAATGGACAGTGGCAGCTCAATAAAGACACGGGCTCGTGCAGAGACTAGATGCAGCTCCTGCTCACTGATCCTGAAGAGTGGGCAGGTGCAAGAGTGGACATCAGGCACAGGCACCTCCCAAGGGTCGGATGAGGCCCATATGACTGCCCCCACCGCATCCTCTGGCCCCGCCAGGCTTACGTGGCCAACAGCAGCTTCACCTCCAGTTCCGTGGTCTCAATGCTGATCCCTGAGGTGCTAAAGATGAGGTAGAAGGTGACCTAGGCCAGGGTGAGAAGAGATTCCAGTCTGAGGTGGTCTACAGGCTTACAGAGCGGGCGCTCACACAGAGATAAGGGCAGATATGCCAACCTGGGCACCTCTCTTCATGGGGTTCCCCAGCTCACACTCAACATGGGAGGCATTCTCATTGGACAGGCAGAGTGGCTTCTCCTGGAATGGAAAGAAGGTGAGGTCAGTTTGGGTGCCTGGAGCCCCTCAAGACCCCACCCCATCCTGCCCCCAGGTCCTCACCGCAGGGTCCAGGGCCCGGACTCCTGAGTAATGCAGTGAGGAAGGAAGCATGACCAGGAGCTGGGCTTCATGGGCATCATCCCCATCAGCCTGGGGCTGGGCTGGGTCCGATGGCAGATTGGTGACCATCAGCTCCAGGCCAATGACCGGCTGCCCACTCAGTGCAAACAGGGCTGTTGTTCCGTCTGCATCCCTGGAGAGTCAGACCCCACTCCTGCTAAGTCCTGAACACCTCCCCTAACCACTGCCGCTCCCGGCCAGCTCCCCCAGCACCTGCCTTCACTCCCTGAGCCTCTCCTCCCACTCCAGGTCCCCATCACACCGGTCCAAGCCTCAAGCCTCTGTACACACGACTGGGAGTCAGGGGACCTCCGTCCTCATCTCAGTTCCAGCATTACTTTCCTTGGGCAAGTAACTTAACCTCTCTAGGCCTCAGTTCTCCATCTATAAAATGAGACTAATAATTCCTACCTCACAGAGGTCTGAAGACTAATCAATGAGATGTATGTAGACTGCATATGATTAGTGTACTGTGAAGGATTGCTATTCCTTGCCATGGGAGCCCCCACATCCCATCACTGACCCTCATCTCAGCCATTTTATTTTTTTTTTTAAGACGGAGTTTCGTTCTTCTTGCCCAGGCTGGAGTGCAATGCCACAATCTTGGCTCTCTGCAACCTCTGCGTCCCAGGCTCAAGTGATTCTCCTGCCTCAGCCTCCCAAGCAGCTGGGATTACAGCCATGCACCATCATGCCCAGCTAATTTTTATATTTTTAGTAGAGATGGGGTTACTGGATGTCTGGAACTCCTGGCCTTGGGTGATCCACCCGCCTCGGCCTCCCAAAGTGCTGGGATTACAGGCTTGAGTCACTGCGCCCGGCCCCTCAGCTCAGTCTCCTAAGTCATCGGCAGGTCCTCTTCCACCTTCTGCCCTCTCAGCTAAGTCCCTCCCTCTGACTGGTCCTTCTGAGGGGGTTTTCTCTCATTCCTTGAACTCTGGCCCACCCGCCCCTCCCTCCGCTGCTCTCTGCCCCCCTCACATGGGCAGAGGCTGGAATTCTGTGTCGCTGACCCGGGCACAGAAGCGGGCACGGACCAACTGTAGATTGCTCTGGCAGATCTTGTCTTCACCACAGCCTTGCTTCAGGAAGTGGATCTGGGGAGAGGCATTAGACAAGGGGCATTCCTAGGGGGTAAGGCAGGGGGCAAACCTGTCACCATGGCATACGGTGGGTTAGAGGATCACAGGATTAAACAACCTGTGCTCCACTCTCAGATCTGGGGTTTACTAGCCGTGTGATTCTCTCCTCTGGAGACGAGTAAAACAATGGGAGCACTACCAAGCCATGGTGGAGACTAGCTGCAAGTCAAGAGCTGGCCACACTGCCCCAGCTATGTGCGTGTAACTGAGGTTCAGATTTAGAACACAAAGAGAAGGCCAGGGCACCACTTCTGGGCCGGCCATAAAAGCCATGCAAGGGGCTTCATGTCACCTCTTCCAACTGAGTGGGATGAAAGTGACTTCAAGGGCTTGGAGGCCACATTTGAAGATGAAGGAATCCCATCAACTTGAGCCCTGGACTGAATACATGGAGCAAAGGAGCTCTGTCCCCTTGACTAGGAACACATGGTCATTTGGGCACCTAGAGATATGACGAATTACCGGAGTAGCAAAGATGAAGGAACTCTGTGAGCTATGAATGGGTGTCACTGTGGAGGGACCATGATCTTTGCCCTCCCCGCTCCTCCTCCCGGGCCAAACCAGAACCCATGCTCACCTCTGCCCGCTGGGTGCTGGGCTGATGGGCATTGAGGATGGGAGCCACTGGGGGCAGCCCCTGGCCAGGAGCCTGTCGTCGGAGCCGAGGGGTCTGCAGACTGTAGGACAAGGTCACTACAATGGCCCGAAGCTTGTCTTTGATGTTTTCCTAGGAAGAGGAAGGGCCATTCGTCGCGGGAACAATCCCCCGGCCTCAGCCCTGCTCAGTGCCCCTGCCACATGTAGGACCAATTCTGAAACTTGGAAGGAAGCTTAGGGAGATGGAGGAGAGAGTTGGAGAACTGAGCAAGGAGGAGGGAGAAAGATGGGTAGGGAAGAGGGGAAACCCGGGATTCAGGGCTTTGAGGACCAGATGTGATCATAAAAGTTGCCATCTCCTCCTCCAGGGAGTGCAGAGATGACAAGAGGGGCAGCAGGTGAGGAGGAAGTGAGCTCAGAAGACAGGTTTCCCACCTGTCTAGGTCTTAGAGAAAGGCACGTGTGTGCTCAGGAAGAAGCAGCTAAGAGGAGTCATGGAAAAGAGATGGTGCCATGACAATGACCCTCAGAAGCCAAGGGGTCAGTGTCCACCTGGAGCTGGAACATGGCGTCTCCACAGACGCGGTCATGCTGGTGCTTCAGCCACACGGTGCCCGAGGCCTGGTGCTTGGGTTCATCTGGGCTACGGCTCAGGAAGGTCACACGGGGAACCTGGCCCCGGAGCCTCCGGTCTGTGTCCCCGTCTAACACGTAATCCAGGGCTGCGGTGTGTTGGGAGAGGAGCCGCTGAGCCGGGGAGCTATTCCAGCTGACCCCATCCCCAGGGTGCTCTTCTCTCCACTTTGAAGTGAGCCCCTTCTCCGGGAAACCCAAAAGGGTGAGCCGCAGGAGGGGGTCCGCACTCACCCACAGTAGGGTTGTAGCTGCTGGGGACTGCAATGTAGCTGAAACAGACCCTTAGGTCCACACTGCGGGGGCAAAGGGTGGCTCCTGAGCCAAACGAGGCTGATGGGCCAAGGCCCCCACCCCCACCCATCTGTCACATCCTGTCACAGCCCCAACCCAGCCCCAAACTGCGAAGATAAAGGGATCAAGAGGAGGGCAGGAGAAGCTGCCAGGGTCCAGGTGCCCCCCCGATCCCGCCTCACCAGACCGAGTGGCCACCGGCACAGTTGGGCTGCTCCAGGTCGATGCTTCGAGGGGCAATAGAGACCTCATGGGAGACATGGAGGACGGGTCTGGCCCTGGGATTGGAGAGTCAAAGGCACAAGAAACATGAGAACGTGAGGCTGGGAAACACTCTTAAGCATCAGATTTGGCCCTGGGGTGGGGGTCAGGGTCACAGGGAGAGGCTCATGGCCTCAGGGAGGGAGAAGGCACTGGGGGGCTCACCTGAAGAGCACGGCGGTGTCAGCCAGGGAGCCCACCAGCAGGTCAGGGTATTGGTTCCCATCCATATCCAAGTTGCCTGACAGGGAGTAGCCGAAGCTCTTGATGCCCACAGCCTCGCCCTCCAGCACCTAGAGAACCGGCTGTCAGCCTCCCCCAGTCCCACCTCCCGCAGGCCTCTGCCTCCCCTGATGCCTCTGCTGCCCTGATTCCACCCACACACCCACTCCCTCATCCCAGCGACTCCCTTCACCTGTGAAGGTTTGGCGACTACGCCCAGGCTGCTCCCATGGTAGATGAAAACTTTCCCGTCCCCATCAAAGGGGGCACCCACTGCAATATCTGCAGGGCACAAGGAAAAGGCAGTCCCGCTGTCTGGGAGCACAGACGAGGTCCAGGCCTCAACTCTCCCCCAGTCACTCAGGTCTGTTTTCTGTTTTATTGGGAGGCTACAAAATCCCAGGCACTCTATAAACATCGTCTTCAATCCTCTTGGCCACTCCCCGCAGATATTACTAACGCAAAAAGGTTGGGCAACTTGCCAAGGTCAGAAAGCTGGGAAATGGTAAAGCTCAGACGTAAGCCCAGGGACCCTCTCTCCCTGGGTCCTCAGAAGACCACGCCCTGACCTCAGACGTAAGCCCAGGGACCCTCTCTCCCTGGGTCCTCAGAAGACCACTCCCTGACCTCAGACATAAGCCCAGGGACCCTCTCTCCCTGGGTCCTCAGAAGACCACGCCCTGACCTCTGAGGGGCTCCCCCATCCCTCCTCAGGCCCCTCCCTCCCCTGAGCCTTTCCAGTTCCCAGTCACACCTGGAAAGCCATCTTGGTTGACGTCCCCCAGGACAGCCAGGCTGATCCCGAACATGGAGTCAGGGGAGCCACAGAGTCGGAGTGGGGAGATTCCGGTCCAGTGGCCCCCCTGGTTCAAGTACACATACACAGCACCCCCCAGCTCTTCTTGGCGCTCAAAGAAGTAGGGGGCACCCACTATCAGGTCTGGCCAGCTATGGAGAGAGGGAAACATTCAGTGTGGGTCCTCTCTGGCCAGAGGAGCCAGCAGGAGGTGCCAAAGGCCACTCATACCTCCTGGACCCAGCCTCCCCCAGGTGGCACGGCCCTGCACCCACTCACCCATCACTGTTGAGGTCAGCCACAGCCAGCGAGTAGCCGAAGCCGGAGGTCAGGCGCTCCCCAGACAGCATAGCCTCGGGCACCAGGCGACTGGCGCTGTCCTTGCGCAGGATGACCACGGCACCCTTGTGGTTGGCACGGGGAGCCCCAGCCACAAAGCTCAGCTCTTCTGCACGCACCAGACCTTTCCCCGAGTCGATAGAGAAACCTGGGGGAAAGGTGACTTACCCCTGAGTCTTAACCCCAAGCCTCAGAAGCTGGGGTGTGTCACGGCTCCCCGGCCCCTGCCCCCTCCCCACAGGCTAAGAGCCGAGTCATAGTTCCCCTGGCCCTTGCCCCCTCCCCACAGGCTAAGAGCCGAGTCACAGTTCCCCTGGCCCCTGCCCCCTCCCCCAAGTTAAGAGCAGAAAGATAGGTTCCCTGCAAGTCATCAGCACCACAGCTGGCTAGTTCTTCCTCCCCACAGGGCCCGGCAGCTCCCCACACCCACTAGGCCCAGAGACAAGCTTGGCGCAAAAAGTGCAGTGAGGTCAACCTCAGGGACGGGGCAGGAGAGAGAAAGGTGATGGCTCAGAAAGCCAGGAGCCCAGGCAGGAGGCCAAGTGCAGCGGCCCCACCCTGCCCACACCCAGGGAGCTAGAGGAGAGGGCCAGTCCTTCTCAAGCCCCAGTCCCACCCAGTGCACCTCTTTCCCCCCACTGCCTCATCCTGGCAGGGAGGGGAAGTCTTCGCATGGATGAGGGGGAGACAAGGGGGATTGAAAGAGAGCCTGCTTCCCCCAAACATCTCCCAGGCCTGGTTTCCTCCTCCTCTGCAGAGGGATGCAGATGAGACAATGAGAGGGACTTACCAACAACACTAGCCCTTTCTTCAGTATGTGCCCACCATCCATCCCTCAGGAGAAGTCCCCCTAGAAGGCAGGACTGTCCTTCCCAGGATATCCTCAGCCCTGGCCCTCTCACTCCACCTGGATCTTCCTCTATGGAGACCCCTGGCTCACAGCCCCAGAGGCCATCACCCTTGGGGCCTCCTCTTCTTAGGCCTGGTCACTGGACCCAGCTCTTCTCTGCAATTTGGGCCCAATGTGTGTCTCCCTGGGTTGTGTTGGGGAGGAGGAGATTATAAGGCAGCAGAGTTCGAGTTCCCTGGGGAAGGAGGGGAGGCTGGGCCACGACCCTAGAGTCCAGGAGGTGGGAGCTTACAAACCTAAGTAGCTATTCAGGGCCAAGTCTCCGGCTGGTCCTGGGAGCCGGTCAGCAGGGTCCAAAGTTTTATACACCAGCTGGTCGGGGTCTGAGCTATCAATGTTGGTCACAAAAAGCAACCCTGTGGGGGGTGGGGGGAGACACCAGGGAGGGGACATCCAGAGAAGGGGCCACAGAGTAGCGAGACAGAGCCACAGAAAGGCCAGAAAAAGGTGAAAGAAGAAGAAGTAGAGAGAGAAAAGAGACCAGAGAGATCACAGCCAGAGAGAAAGACAGACAGGGTGAGAGACAGAAACAGACAGAAGGATGGGAGCATGGAGAGGGAGGACAAGAGAGAGGAGCAGAGGATTAGAGCGGCTCTGGGCCGGGGAGGGGTCCCTACCAAAGTAGCTGTTGGCAGGGACCGGGATGAGGCGGGGGTCCTGCTGCTTCTCACCCCCCGCCTCGTAGGGCCCGTCGTCCAGGTCTGCCAGGTCCGCTGAGCCCTGTGCACAGAGCTCCACCCTGGCTGTGCCTGCAAGGACAGTCCTGTTAGTGCCGGGGCAGGGCACAGGGAGCACCCCTCAGGCCAGACTCTGAGTTAGACAGGTACACAGGGAAGCCCCTCCTCTTCTTTCCAGCCCTCTCTCCACCCCCTCCCAAACCCAGGCTTCCTGGGGTCCCCCAGTCGTGGCATCACACTCACCAAGTGTCAGCTCAGCCAGCAGCAGCGTGCGGAGACGGGAATGGCAGTGATGAGGTGTGGGCTAGTGTGTTGGAGCATGCAGGCCCCAGCTGCAGGCCCAGTGTGCACTTGGGGCTCATGCCAGCATGTTGAGGAACCCTTGGCCATGCAAGGGAAAAGCGGTACCCCCCACATTCACGTGTGCACTAGCTCAGTGGGGTGGAAGGCATGGCAGTGCCCTGGGGCCATACAGCAGTGCACACGTGGTCATGCTTGGCCATGTGCTGTCCTCAGCCCTGTCTCTGAGGTGAGAGGAGGTTTTGGTCCCTTCTCCCCTCCCCGAGGAGTGACTCACCCTTCCAATTATAGGTTCCTGGGGCCCCAAAGAGGAGGTAGTGGCTATCAGGGGAGAAGGCGGCAGCTGTGCCCTGCTGGCAGAACCCAAATTGTTCATGGCCTTGGGGGCGCCCTTCACAGAACTTCCATTCCCCACCATCCAACTCATCCCGGATGGCCAGGTCCTGGCTTAGCACAAAGCAGCGACCAATCATATCCCGTGTCTCCAGGATCTGGTCCACTCGCTGCCGCGCCTCATATCGGTGTGCACAGGTCTGGGGGAGGAAGGAATGGGGATCGTTTCACTCTGTGGGCCAGGGACCTGCTTGAAGCCTGCTGCCGACAGTGGTTTGGCAGATACTGATACATGTGTGCTCACACACACACACACACACACACCCCTATGCCGGCACCACTCAAGCACCATTACCCTGCCAGTGTTACACAGGTCCGTGCATAACCCAGCATCCTGTCTGCACCCACTTCTTGCCCTCAAATGGGGATGTCCTCGTTCCACATTCTGCCTGGAGCCAAAAGACACTACTAAGCCACCACATAGGGTGTGTGTCTCCCCAATCATATCACAGTCCTCCAGAATGCCAAGCTTGGCCCCGTCCCGGGACCTTTGCTGTTGTTGTTGTTGTTGTTTGAGACAGAGTCTTGCTCTTGTTGCCCAGGCTGGAGTGCAACGACACGATCTCAACTCACCACAACCTCCGCCTCCCGGGCTCAAGCGATTCTCCTGCTTAGCCTTCCGAGTAGCTAGGATTACAGGTATGCGCCACCATACCCAGTTAATTTTTTGTACTTTTAGTAGAGACGAAGTTTCTCCATGTTGGTCAGGCTGGTCTTGAACTCCTGACCTCAGGTGATCCGCCCACCTCAGCCTTTTAAAGTGCTGGGACTACAGGCATGAGCCACCGCGCCCGGCATCCCTGGACATTTGTGTCACCACCTCATCTGCAAAGAATTTCCTTTCCTCTTCACTCTCCAAGTATTACTTTTTTTTTTTTTTTTTTTTTTTTTT